AAATAAATACGATCTATGAAAAGTTAAATAAAAAATTTTTGGTTTTTGAGTTACAAGGCTTTAAAGTTTTCAACAATAAAACCAATTTAATTAATAACTTCATAACCCTTTTACGGATCGGGTTAAAATTTGGGACATTTATTTGGACTATTATGGCGTGTTATTTATTAAAACTTTAGTCAAAACTATCACCCAGTATGGGTGATAGTTTTCTCCGGTCCCGACCCTTTTAGCAGTCAAAACTTTTACAGTGGTCGTATTTTTTTAAAACATGCAGCAATATTGAAAAGGTTATTAAAAAAATATATAGTCTATTGAGAAAATCACCTACAGAGAGCTATTCCTGAGAAAAATGGTATTATTTGCAGGTGTGTTTGTTTCGGTTTGCGTAGCAGTGTCACGAATTTAAAACTTTGAGTTCAGTAGGCGATGAAAACAAGATGTTATGAAGTATTATGATGATTATGAAGTATCCGCAGTGTATCAGGACTATTAAATGTACCTATGTAAAACTATGTTCACAAAACTTAAAAAAGCAACTTCTTCGGCCATTTCATTTAAATCCTGCTCAAGAACTTGAAAATTTAGATCCCAACGCACGTTTACAATTTTGCTGCTGGTTAGTAAATGGCTTCGCAGAAGATAATAATTTGCTTAAAAATATTTTGTACCGACGAATCTTGTTTTACAAGAAACGGAGTTGTAAATTTTCATAATTTGCATGTGTGGAGTGATGAGAATCCTAAAAAAACACGACAATAATGACATTACCTGATAGCCACAGCATATCAACATCTTGTTTTGATCACCTACTGAACTCAAAGTTTTAAATTTGTGACACTGCTACGCAAACCGAAACATACAGACCTGCAAATAATGTCATTTTTCTCAAAAATGACTAGGCGATTTTCTAGAGGCAATATTTTTTTTAAATAAAACGACCGTTTCAATGTTGCTGCCAGATTTAAAAAAATACGGCCACTATAAAAGTTTTGACTGCTAAAAGGGAGAGGTAACCGGAGAAAACCATCACCCAGTATATTGATTTAACTAAAGTGTTAAGAAATAATACGTCATAATAGTACAAATAAATGTTCCAAATTTTAACGCGATCGGTAAAAGGGTTATGAAGTTATTAATTAAATTAGTTTTATTTTTGACAACTTTGAAGGCCTGTGACTCAAAAACCAAAAATAATTTATTTAACTTTTTTTTCGTAGATTGTATTTATTTATTATCGTGAATATGCAGTCAAACGTTGTCGGTGAAATTTGCGGACACCCAGTATATATGTCGGGCGTTTCACGTCAACGGGCACAGTGGGCTGCCCAGAATAAAAATGCATCAATATTTCGACGTGTCAAAAGCTTCGTATTTAAAAACTCTTATCGAATGCCGTCTGGTGATTTTAAAAAAACATCATGGCGGTTCCAATATGGCGTCCGCAATCATGGAAAATTCTGTTTAATGAGCAATATTGATAGATAAGAAACATAAAAATATACATACTTATAAAACAGGGGATTAAATAATAAAAAACTAACAAAACCGAGAGATACAAGAAACCATTGTGAAAATTTATGAATTCACTTAATATTAAAAACATTGAAGAGTATAGTCTCATTATTTAAAATAATTACACATCATTACAATATTAAACGAAAATTATAAAATGGAAAAATGAGGAGTGTCACTGAATTGTGAAGAAATTTTTTTGTAAATTTCTTTAGCAGAATACGTTTTTTATAAGCTTAACAGTCTACTAATATTCAAAATGAAAACTACTTACAATGAGGTTCAAGAACACTTGACAGAAACAATTAGCATCGCCAACTACAGTTGTCGAATTTATTAGTTCATGAGATAAATTGAATCAAATATGTGAAAACTTAAAATATCCTACAAGGATATTTTAAGTTTTCACACATTTGATTCTACGTTATTTATCACGTGGACTTTCTCGTAAGCTTAGGTACTGAGGACTTTTCTTATAGCAAATATAATTTTCTTATAAAAATGTCATTTATGTTTTTGTGTGTCTAATCATTTTTGAGCAAAATACAAAAATCGATAAAAATTAAAAAAACTAAGATTTTTTAGCAGTGAAACTGTTCAAGTCACATACAGGTAGATCCTATTATGGGCACTTTCAAAGTACAAAGATTCCCCTATAATTATCGCCTATGGACAATAAAATAACGTTCAATGCAGCTGAGATATAGATAATTAAAAAAAAACAGGTTTGTGTTAAATGGATAGGCAAATTTAAAAATCAAATAGCGAGTACTAAAAATTAAAATTAAGAGCGGAAATTTGGTGAGAATGTTTAGAACAATATTTCGTCAATGGAACGAGACATGTATGTTTCAAACGAAGCACCCTAAATATACAGTGTCCCAGTACTTGATACAAAAAAGTCGAGAATAGATGAAAGAAATTTGTATAGCTCAAGGTAGCCACAATAACCTTGTAAATTGACAAGTTGATCTATTGAGTCATTTTCTGTTCCGTACAATCAAAATTTTGGAAAGAATAAAGGAACACGTTTATTGTTCTTACATACTATGTAATCATTATCAAAATGAAAGAAGAATTTTTCTCGACCATTGCCACAATTTTGTATTATGCAGTTTAAATTAAAAAAAAATCTGAAAATTTTCAAAAAAGGAAAAGTTGCTTTACGATTCGATTTAAAAAAATTTTTTTTATTATTTATTTATATACATGGCAGCCAAACATAATGCCAACAAACATTACAATTACAGGGTGCAAATAATTAATTACAAAATACAGGTAGATACACTAAAAAAAGTGGTCAAGAACGACAAAACCTTAAACTAAATTAAGACTAGAAATAAATTAATAAAAAAATGTAAGTAATGCAAATAATTTTACCTACTACCCAAACTACCACCTCCAAACAAAAAAGTCCAGAGGGTTGATATCCGGACTTCTATTAACCACCTTTCCAGAACTTTGGTATGTAAAAATTCACAAATTTGTAAAGGGACGTCTTCCAACAAATCCGGTAAGGCGTATATTAAAAACTCTAAAAAAAACGGCACCATCTGAACGTGTAGGTAACACTATGGGACCGAGTAATCTGTCACCAAAAACACCATACCACACATTCACTGAAAACGTTACTGGAACCGAGATACAGTACAACGTGAGGATTTGCATCACACCAATAGTGAATATTGTGAAAATTAGGTATCCCGTCTCCAGTAAAGCACCTTGGTTGTAAAATCCAAATCTTGTACAATTTGATGTCGAAATGACTGGCAAAATTTCACACGGGGCTGAAAATCATTGTTTTTAATGCCTGAACCCTTTGTACATTTGTGCAGGAACCAGGCAAGTCCACTTTTTTAAAATGTTGGGAATGTGAAAGAAACTCATTCTCATATCAAGTTCACAAAAATTAAACATTTTTTCAGTTTTATGTAATGTAGACTAAATAACTAAATGACTAGCGGGAAAAAGTAAACATTCAGTAAGCAATATATTTTTATTTTTTTTAAATTTGCCTGTTTCTTACACCAAAATATTAAGACAATTGATATTTGTCAATTATTTATTACATTTTGTATTAACAGTGTTTTTTCTTAAATTAAACAAGAATCGGTGTCATAGCCTTCATTAGACAGGTGGATCTTCTTCAGGTTGATTGTCGGTGAGCAAATCTCTAAATATAGAGTTATAATACACCTCATCAGCTAGTGGGATGTACTTTTGCACCAAAATTTTGCAATCCTTTATTTGTTTGTCATTTATTAATAAACGATTTTTGTAGGTTAATTCACTCGGCAATGACAACTGAATTTGTGGGTTTGGCTTGATGAGCGAAATAGTTGAGAAAACAGTCATTCCAGCAGAAACAGAGCATTCAATAAATCTATTATTTTTTGTGTATTTGTACTAACAATTCATGTGATGACGAGTGTCACGAGCGGTAGTCGTCACCTGTATTTTCAGCCCCCCCCTCCCTACAGGCAAATCCCCACCACTAATTTCACATTTTGGAGCAATAATCAGGCAAGTCCTGGACACTGGACATTCTCGTTTCTTGGGCCAAATTGGTTAAACAGGGAAGTCGTTTGTCATTATATTTTCACTAATATGCCACGGACTTGCCGGATTCTTACACCGAAAGATGGCCAACCTAGATTTGTAGGAGATTCCATATATAACACATTTCTTGTGGAAAATGGACTTGCCTGGTTCTTGCACCAATTTCTTCAATTGTTCCTGTAATACACGCCACACGGTACAGTTAGATACAACCACTTCTCGGCCAGTGTCGCCTCGGATCTTCCTCAAGGAGGATTATGATGTTTTCTTCATTGTCAAAAACACGTTACGGCTTTCATATATCAGGCGGACATTCTCGGTATCTTAACTTCTGAACTGCCTTTTGTACTGTTCTATTCCTAGATTGGCGTCTGTTATGATAATTGACCGCATACAAACAACTCAAATTGTACTGACATTCTCTGTACATAAACACCATATCTGCTAGTTCTTGATCAGAAAACATTTTATACGCAGGCTAAGTAACTCTGCAACACACAACTAAAGAACACAAGACATACTGACCTCCCATGAGATTTATATGATTGTGGAAGTCATGTGGAACGTCAGCCAATTAGAGAAGCGCTTCACGCATGTAGCGAATCTGAAGCATTCTGACTGTGTACATACGCAAGGTCTTAATTAATTTTCTCCAAAACAGAAGCTTTTAGACCATCAGTTGCTTAATAAAAGTTGCTCATTTTCATGCCCTCTATCACCCTTTTCAAGAAACATATTTATTTCAGAAACTGTATACTATTTGTTTTTTTTTGACCATAGATGTTGTTTATTCAAATTTTTTTTACTGTCTTCATTTTTCAGCTTTCAGTGGTGTAGGTACAGCTAGTAAATCTTACCTTTATTTTTGTAAAGTAAATGCTTACAAGGGTAGCTCTTTATAGTTTATTTATTTTATTTTGTTTTAGGAGAATACTACAAGAGCAGTGTCCAGAAATGCAGCATTACAAGTAAGTTAAGGTACGGTTTAATATTTCAGTTAAATATTACATATTTAATCTTTATGTGCAGGGGCCCAGATGTGTCAAGCTCTTTGAACGAAGCTATTTATCACCCTCACAGCAATGGTCACTCCGAACATTCTCCAAATTCTAGCCATATGTCTGTTCACAGTGATGAACCACTCGTACGAACTCAGAAACAGCAAACCACTCAACAAGTAACCACGGTGACTAAAGTAGTACGTGAAGTACAGCAGTTAGGCGATCAAGCTGGAGAATATATACCTGTTCCCCTCGGATCATACCCACATGCATCTCAGTATGTCGATTATATAGAACAACCATCCCATCATATGTATTCCCAGTATCACCAGCATCCTCATTACCAAGATTATGACCATTACCCAAACCCCTATGGAGCATATATGGGTTACCCGGCAAGCGCTGAACAACCACCATCTCCTCCTAGTCTAAGCGAGCACAGTGGTGATCCATCTCCGCTTCCACTTACAGCGCAACCAAATGCTGCTTACCTTGGCTCGGCATATGATGAACTTCCTGAACATTACAGAGTCACTCCTTCTCCAGGAGGGCCTATAGGCATAGACCCATACCAAGACGAATCCGCTGTCGTTTACGGTTATGTTTCTCCTTCGCCTTACGGTACAGCGCCTAGTCTTTCTCGTCCCTATGTAGATAGTTTAAATGGACCAGTTCCAGTAGGTGCTAGTATGAGAATGTTCGAAGATGAAGATTTACAGAAACATATTAGTAAAATGTCACTCCACGGGCACAACGTAGGTTTACCCCATGAAAGAGTGCATAACATTTCATCACCAGGCAGTATTGGAGGGGAAGATGATCAACGAGGTATGCGTTGGCGTGATCCAAATCTGACAGAAGTTATTGGATTTTTAAATAACCCTAATAATGTGATTAAAGCTAATGCTGCGGCTTACTTGCAGCATTTATGTTATATGGACGATCCTAATAAACAGAAAACAAGAGCCCTAGGCGGTATACCTCCTCTTGTGAAGCTGTTAAGTCACGACAGTATAGAAGTTTATAGAAATGCTTGTGGAGCTTTAAGAAATCTTTCATATGGAAGACAAAATGATGAAAATAAGAGGGCGATAAAAAATGCTGGAGGAATACCCGCGCTGATAAATTTGCTGAAACGATCTAATGAAGCAGAAATTAAGGAATTAGTTACAGGTGTAATTTGGAATATGTCATCTTGTGAGGATTTAAAAAGAAATATAATCGATGATGGTGTTATTACGATTGTAACTTACATTATAATACCACATTCTGGTTGGGATTCTCAAGGAAATCATGGAGAAACGTGTTGGTCAACAGTATTTAGAAATGCTTCCGGTGTATTGAGAAATGTCAGTTCGGCAGGAGAATATGCCAGGAAAAAGTTGAGAGAATGTGAAGGTTTAGTCGATGCACTGTTGTTTGTTGTACGCTGTGCCATAGACAAATCTAACATAGGCAATAAAATTGTAGAAAATTGTGTGTGCATACTCCGCAATTTATCATATAGATGCCAAGAGGTTGAAGATCCAAATTATGATAAAAATCCATTACCAACCCAAAGTAGAGTAGCTGCTAATTCTTCTAAAGGTAATTCCATTATATACATATAAACAAAATTCAAAACTCTAGTTCGACAGAGATGCAGTTATAAAGGAAAAAAATATTAGTCTTTCTAGGTTTCAACTTTCGAACCTTTATTTCATATCTTCATTAGGAAAATCTACAAGTGAATATACAGGGTACAAAAAAGTCGAATACAAATAGATGAGGTCAAAAGTATGTCAGTTCTTCATATACATTTTTTTAATACGGGCCTTCGTTAACAAATTACGAGCCCTCAAATGTGAACATTAAAAAGTTATTTCTATTTACAGTCTCTAAACTATTAACTTCAGTATGATGCAAATTTGGTGATCGATAACACATGCGTACAGCTTGTTTTTTATGTTGAAAGTGAAACGTCACTATGCCCAGAATGCCAGGGACGAACTATGCCCAATGGTTAACAACTCATAATTTTTGCATAGATGACGGTCACAATCTGCCGAAAGATCTGTGCCTGTTCGTTGCAATGGAATCCATAGAAACAAATTTCAATGTCATTATTATTACTGTTTCTTACTCTTTCACAAGTTTTATGATTTTGTATAGAAAATATTAGTTGACAAAACCGAAAATATTGTTAACTTTTCGAAATTAGAAATATGCATTTTACATATTACACCAGGAAAATTAGCGAAAATAAAAGAGAAACTCGAAAAAAGTCCTACCGCTAGATTATTGTAAAATTGTCTAAAGGAACATAATACAAGACATCTCTTGTCTCGTGAGTCAAAAACGTTTATTAGCTAACTCTTCTATTTAAACAAATAAGTGAGGAAAACAGTTTTTTCACTTTGCAGGGAACACCATCAATTTTAGCGAAAAGTGACAGCTTATAGGGAGTAAAATTATCTACAAAATGAGACTGGTTAAATTAAAATCGGTTAATAAACAAAAAAGTTTTTGCAAAAAAAACAAGGAAAGTGCCCATTTTTTCATTTGTTTATAACTATCGCATTTATTGTTAAAATTTTAGAAAACCTATGACAAGTTGAGGGTTTTGTCATACTTTAAAAGTGTGCCAAAAGTGGGCGCTGTAGGTGCAATAGTTTTCGCACAATTCTATTTGTTTATAGCGGAGGCTCCAAAAGTTATGAACTTTAAGCCTCTGTACAGGCGTTAATTTTCAACCAAACATGATTCTGAAAGCGTCATTGTAATCTTAAAGACGTAATTAAGCGACCTATTAAAAAATATCACCGT